ATTTGTTATGCAACTTGTTTATCCTTTTGGTCTACCATGACAAAGATTGTAATTCATGAAACACAGCTTTTTCTATGAAAAGTTGTTTCCTAGGGGAAAACACAGTCTGTGGTAGAAAAGAATAAAGCATGAACATATGTAATGGATTTCACAGTAAAACAAAAGTTTGAAATGAAGATATTTCCAAGCAAAATGAAATTAATTTTAGTCTATCCCTTTAACTAGTAGAAAGAAAGTAGAGGGGGAAAAAAATAATCTGAGAACTACAGGAATTAAGAACAAGTAAAAGACCAAACCTGCTTCTCCACCTTAGCTTAAGCACGGAGAGAAAGCTCCCAGTGAGTCAAGGCACTCGGAGTAAATGGGAATGTTTCAGCCCTATGGAAACTGCTGGCAACCAGCCACTAGCAGACACTGAGTCTCTCAGGTCCTTTTCCTGCCTCTAGTTCTGCTCCTCCTCCTCTCTGAAACCCATACAAGAATCCTGCACCTTTTCAGATCAACCAACAAGAACAAATTGATGTAGGTATTGCGGATCGAAGGCTCAGAGTGCTATAACACATTGCAACAGTACACACAAAAGCAACTACATCTCACAAAAATTACCTTACTTATTGTATCAGTGACTCGGTTTATAGGTCGAGTGAAAGTTTCTTACCCTTCACTTGCTTGATCAGGAGCTGCTGCAGCTCTGGATTTACAGTACTGGAGTGTTTCTCCCTGTTTTCCACCAATGAGCTCCTCTGTGTTTCCCAGATCCTACACACCAGTCTTTAAATGCAAAGCACAATTTGTGCCCAATAATGCAGTCGTTATTACGACGGCACACAACTTGCACTAGATGCACCACACAAACACTCGAATTCCCAGCACACCAGTGTGCTCTGTGAGCTTTCTCCCGCAAGAAAGTTCTCCCCAAATCTGCCCAAGAGCTTCCTGATGCCAAGATGCCTCCACTGCTCATAGCAGGCTGTGATCAGGGCTTTTGACTCATGTGGGCAGGGATCAGGTCATTCCTTCTTCTGTTAGCACATCTGCCAGATCATCATTTGAGGCTTTTTATTATAAGGTTTTTGTTTGGTTGGTTGGTTGTGTTTTTTTTTTTTCCAGTGGGGAAAAAGCTGCTCTAGCAGCAGAGGCAGGTGATGAGGCTGCTGTCTCGCAATGAAGTTTCACTTCCCTGCTTTAGCACAGGCTTTCTACACTATCACGTGCAATGTGCTTGGCCATTCGGTGTCTCAGTTACCCTCCCTACGCTGCAGAGATGCTGGGAAGAAAATCATGACAGTCTCGGTTACTACAGTAATAAAGACTTGCTGAAAAGCTCAGTTTACAACCCACACTTAAGTAGGACAAGTGTCCATGACATAAGTGGACACATTCATCTCCAACAGAAGAATTCCAGCAGCAACAGCAGTTTAGCCACAGCAGCAGAGCTGACATCATCTCTCTGCATCCTTCCCTGCTCGCACCTTTGGTATTTTCTTAATACCCAAACTCCAGCGATCAAGCTTTTGCAACTAATGATATCCAAACTAGAGCAACATCCAGGGCCACGGCATCTCTGCCTGCCATGCAGACAGACCTTAACGTGGAATGAGACAGCGATTGAAATTGTTCTGCAGAACTACAAAGTGCCTCTGGTACCAAGGAAAACTTCTTTGATTATGGAGAATTTGGGCCAGATCATTTAGAAATAGAAGCATTTTAACAGCGACAGTAAAGCAATAGTTAAATAAGGTTTTGGTACCTTTTCACCAAGGCAAACAGAAGATTAGTTGGACAATGTAACCTGATTCGTCCTCAAGCTGGCAAAAGAGCTACTGGAAGCAGACAAAGCATCATCTGCTGCTGAATTCTTGTAACTCAGTAGCTTACACTTAAAGTGACTACAGATCAGCTCAGATGAGAATGTTTCTTACAAGTGGAAATTATTTCACTTAAATTCGTAATACAGTCAATGGTGGGGCAGGATAATCACCCCATCCCATCCTTCGGAGTAAGTGCAAAAATACAGGTAGTATTTCATCCATTGAGTGACTTCTGAATCTATGTTTAGCCACAACCTCAGAAAAAAAAAAAAGCTGTTCGTATAAATTTACAACCAGAAATCCTGTCTTATATTATGCAAATAATAAAGAAATAAAAGCTTAGATTTTAACAATACTGTTAACAATAGATATGCAATGTTTAAGTCTGACAATAAAGACAGCATATGAAAGAGGCAGATTGCTCTAGTAATTATACAAAATGCAGCAGTCATTGACTCTGCAACTGTTATCTTTTATTTAGGTAAAGTCTTTCACGATATTCAGAATTTTCACAGACAACAAGAATTTAGGGGGTATTTGACAGTTTACGTTTCCATTTCATTTTCTTTAATTTCTCATTCAAAACCAACTTATGTTGTTAAAATTTTTTTTAAATGTGATTTCCTTTGAAAGCTTTGCTAAAACATTCTACTTAATTTTAGCAGCAGATGTAATCAAATCACTTCTCTTTCTGTTTTTTACGCCTTCATACATCATCAAAACTACTGAAAAAGTCAAGGAAAAAAAAAGAAAAGTAAAAATCTAGTGTTTGTTTTTCACATCAGTCTAACTGAACTATGGTTACCCCTTTCACCTTAGCCCCTGATGGACTTCATCTGAAGTTCCCTGGGGACCATATGAAACTCTCGGGATGAGGATGAGAGAAGAGCCTCCGAGTCCAGAAGCAGAGCAGAGGAGGCTGGTGGAAGAGCTCGGTATGCTCTTGAGTGAATCAGCCCTTCCTTTGTCCACCTGAGATGTCCCCAAGGAGCAGCTGTACTCCCAGGGACACCCAACACCTCTTGCATTGCAGGGACAAATGAAAGATGCTCAAAGCTGCAATTGATATTTTGGCTAAAAGCTGAGTTTCCTTGCAGAGCACTTGCTAAGTGCCCAAGCCTGGTTACTTACACAAGGGCTGGTTTCCCACACACTGTCTCTTGTTCACGGCTAATCCTGCAGAGAGGTCAAATAACGCCAGCTCTGAGTCACCACAACCATCTCCAAGGCAACTGGCCGAATATACAGTGTAAACACATGATTACAGATTCTGTGTCCAGTTCAGGAAAGAGGAGGAGGAGGAGGAAGAACTGACTTGAAATAAGTCATGCTTTTAGTGAAATCAGAGTAGTCAGTGTTGAAGCAACGCTGGACAAACGCATCTGTGTCAGTGGAGGGCATGAAAAAAATTGTTTTTTCCCATTTTGCTTCTCCCCAGAATTCCCTTCACCACTAAGTTGTTTGTTTTTTTTTTTTTTCCCTCAGGTAGTTTCTCCAAAATGAGGTACAAGCACAAAAAGGGGTGCTATCCAAACAGCTGCTTTACATCTGAGATGTCACCTCTTCCATTGCAACACAGTCCCAGACAGCGCTATTTGGCAGGAACGGGACTACCTTTCTGAAAGGCCCATTAAGATACAAGCTATATTTTAGGACAGCACCCATCTCTATCTAGCATCCCACACCACAAGATCACATCTCCACTAGGTCAAAAAAAAAAAGTGCCTATTACAACTAAAGGAACAATCGAGAGCAATTCCCTCCTTTCTCTTTGAATCACGAGCAGCGTCAAATTTCCCCCTAACAGTGACAAAACAAGCCCCAGGAGCCCTCCCCAGTGCCTCAGTTACATTTGGGGCCGGAGGACAAGCAGAGCCCAGAGCATC